CACTTTGGAAAATACACAAGATTTTCCGTTTTCTTGTTTTTTAAAAGGTGGAAAAGGACGGCAACGGTGTATATATATGTCTTATATATGGATAGTGTTTAGGTGAGTAGGTTAAAATTTTTGTAAGATTTTTATAAATTGAGTTACGATTTTCCTCAATTTTTCGTGCCGCAGAATCATTTTAGTTTCTCACTCGAAACTCAAGGTTAATGAGAGCTGTTACAAAAATAAGATCGCCATTCTGTAGAGCTTGCTTTGCTTCATCGAATAGTATCGCAACCTATTCAGAAATGAGAAGTATATGACTTACTGCGGTTAAAATTCATAGCGGACATTAATTTACAACCCAATATGTCGGAATACCCGTCAAATGCACTAAGCCAGTTAATGCTGGACATAATGTTTTTTTTTATGAAAGACGTATCTGCATTAGAGTAGTCACGTATTAACGTTCAGAGATATCACAATGACCAGAGGTAGACAAGGCTACCTGAGAAGATTTAACATTGTGATCTCCATTGCCTAAGGGGGGAAGTAACTGGATTTTGGGAACGATATTATATCTTGTAGAAATAAGATCTAAAATTGACGCATCCCTGGTGGGAGTTTTGATAACTTCTGAGAGCCCCAGACATTCAAAAAGTGATGCAAAACGGGAAGAGGAGGATGAAAAACTGCCTTCATTTAGACCATCCACATCACTGAGATTGAAATCTCCCAAAAGAAGAGTGTGTTTTGTATATGCAGTCAGATATTCTAGGGGCCAATAAGCTCTTTGTCTTGAAAGGATGTTTGGCTAGGTGGTCGATTTAGTAGTACAAATCCTACGAAAACCCAGTAGGTTAGTGGGTGAAGAAAGCTTTTGATCAATGTTGCGAAAAGCTAAATTGCATCGAATGAGTACGCATATCCACCCCTTTCGTGTTTGCGACCAAATAAAAGGTTGTATGGAAGTTTACCCAAAACTTCGTTATCGGTTATATTACTTATTTATCAAACTTCTAGCATTCAGTAAAAAACATAATATCTTGAAGGACTCCGAGCAGGTAGGCAATTTTTTTTGCGACGAGGCCTTGATATTTGAAATGTCTGGCTCTAAAAGTTGCCCTCTATAGACAACAATATTTGCTACCACCATGCTCTTGATACAGTTCATGCGCTTGCTGTCTCAGAGTCTTTTCATGATCTCTTTCTTCCCGAATCATCGAACGGCGAATATATATGTGTTCACAACTGCTCCAACTCCAACTGCTTCACAACTGTTCACAACTTCCGCTTGCTCTTGTGATCAGTTAAATAATGGCCAAAATCTCAAAACCATGGTTTTTACCATGTCCAACTTTGGCGATTTTTCATAATCTTCATTTTGAACTTTTGGAAAAGTTTTGATAACAGTAAGATAGAGTAAACAAAGTGCAATTTAATGCAATTTTTTGGCGTCTATAGGTAGCCTTAAAAATTCTTTAGAATTATTTTTCTGATGCTATCAAATTCTACTTTTGGTGATGCCATGAGCCATAGAATATAAAACGGCGCACAACTAAGGTGCCATTCGATGCAGCTTTTCCTTCTCTTTCTACTGAGTATTTTTCTTCCCCATTTGTGGGGGTTTCTTACGATAAAATTTCCATAATTCATGATTTTGAACCCGCCTGAGAGTGTACACGTGAAATGCGAAATCTCATATTTCGAAGCGGTAAACACTCAGTTATTTTGTAAGAATGGTGGACAATCATAAACGACTTTTGAAAATGTCAAAATCCCAAAATTTGTTAGTATTCGGAGCGTTTCTGTATTTTGAGAGTTTGCGAAAGTGAAGAATTTTGGAAAAATTATTTCAAAATACTGAGAAGTCAGCTGGATATGCCAAAAAATTGCATTTCATTGCACTTTGTTTACTCTATCTGACATATATCAAAGCTCCTCCGAAAGTCAAAAAAGAAGATCGTAATAAATTGCCAAAATTGAACATGGTTAAAACCATGGGTTCGAAATTTCGGCCATTATCTCACTGACTGCAAGAGCAATTGGAACAGATGTAAGACAAATGAAAAGAGGAAGAAAAGCTGCGTTGAATGATGCCTGAAGCGTTTCTCTACCTTCATTCCACGTGTTTTTATGATAGGTTGAAAAAACGGAAAGAACTTTCGGAACGACCTAATATATAAGAAGAGTAATTAGGCAAACCCAGACGTTGGAGCATTTTTTTGTACTCTCTCGTTAGTTCATCCTAATGCAGGAAAAGTCCGCAATCCGCCTCGAACAAATCTTAGAGCGATCTTAGATACATTCTCTCACTTATACTTTGTTTGTCATTGTTGTTACACACAGGGCCCGGCACGAGGTCGGCAAATGCCAAGCTGGAAATCGTTTTGGGGCCAAAAAGCAAAGGGGAAATCGTTTTTACGGGGTCCGGGGCGGAGCCCCGGAAAAAAAATTGGTGGTTATGATGGCAAATCTGAGCCCTTCTCATCTGGACTTGCACAGAATGAAATATCATAGCGTTACAACTTTATCAGAACGAAAAAAAACGGAGGAAAAAACGAAAAAGAACGGAGGTGCTGGCAGCTTCTCAGGTATTGTACGAAGAATAAATAGTAGAAGATTGAGGTTGTCCATGTTGAGGTCGAGAGCGAAGGTTCTGACTGCTTACGCTGTAGCTTTGACTCCATAAATAGTTCTCGAGTACTTAATTAAAGATACTATTTTCATGCTGCTCTAGCCTCCGTTTTCCATTGTAATTGAGTTGTCAGAAACATAAGTTTCATTAAGTTGTTTGAACTTTTGAGTAGAAGTTGATTTACATTCTGCTGCAGCTCTGTTCTAATCTCATGCTGTTACGCTTTTTCTATATAAAATGCAGAGCAAAGAATGAACTGGTTGTTGAAGTCCACAAAAGTTGTAGTGTGAAAATTGTGTTCGTGTCCCATCTGAAATCGAACGCATGATTTATGTCATATGCACTCAGAAAAACCGACCAAAGATGACTTCGTATTCACAATCAGTATTCCATAATTATTTAATTTCAGTGATTTCATTGATTCCTCATCATTGTAGCATTCAGTGGTGACGCTCAATTCGATGAATTGCACTTCTGCATTGTTCGAAAATTTTAGACATGACATCTCATTAAAAAAACGATGACATGGGTTTTCGTCGCATGAAATTGCGGCTATGCAGAAAAGAAGGAATAACGTCCACATCGAAAAACACTGCAAAATACTTTCATAAAACTCGAATAAGGCAAATGGAATTATGGCAATGGAACCAAGAATGTGTTTCTGACACATGTATGGAGAACAACTGATTATGTCTTTAGAAAAGCAATGATCTCAATTGTGACTCGAAAAAATGCAGAAGAAATCCGAAGAGCAGATATGTTAAGTCTTTGAACTTGAGCGACTGTTCTGCTCTTTGATGAGCCAACCGCGGTGCGGAGGACGGGCATGCCATTTGTCAGCAGTAAATCTCAAAGCTTTTATAGTTATAGCTTTAGCTTTTAGCTTTTATAGCTCTTATAGTTTAAAGAATGGTCTCACTTGATCCACTATTCCACATCACCACCATCCTGCTGCTAATCTGGTCTTCCAGTATTCACATTAACATAATGAATAACAGCTCGAATCCACCGCAGCCGCAGCAGAACAGGGACGAGGAGCCCCCCCCCCCGATTTAGATCGGGTGCTTTTATATTGAACCAAGGGGTGAATTTCGGTGATCCAGCTTTGCGAAACAATCCACTACAGCCGGTTCTGCCATGGGGGCGAAGGGAAGCGGAAGGACCTCCGGAACCTAATCCCTAGAGAAGAAGAAGGAATTTATCCGCCTTAGACTACTATCTTTGATCGCAATAAAATATCCTTCCATTCTCTGTGTGTGAATTGTGTGAATTCAATGTTCAATGCAACTCCGTATTTTTGATTTTGGAATATATTGATAAATACAGTAGTGAAAAATAAAATAATAAAAATAAAAAATAAATTATAAAATGAAATAAATTTAGTAGTAGTGATAGTTGTGCAGGATGCTTTCTATTGTAGCATGTTGGCAAGCCGTGATACGACTGAGCAGGCCAAAGCGATTGTAGCAAAATTACATCACTAGATCATTATGCATCCGGAAAAATTCAATCAAATTGGCAAAACTGGTAAATGAAGATGTGAATTCAAACGGCTCGTTTACAGCGCACAGATGACGATATGGTATGAAACTTGGTAGGTAGATGAACACGGGCCTGCAGGGCTTAACTTAGAAGTTTCATTGAAAAATTATGTGACTGAACGTTGTGGCAAGCTTTTGTCTGGAAATTTCCCACTATCAAGAAAATGGAAAAATGGCTCGTTTGCAACGCAGAGGGAACGAAATCGCGCGGGACTTGGTGTGTATATGCGCAATAGGACTAAGTAACAAAGTATGAAAAATTATGAAAAACTTATGTGAATGAAGAGTTTCCTTAACTAATTTCCAAATTAGGTCGGCATTTGCCGACCTAATTCCCACCTGAGGTTGGCAAAACTCTCAATTCACATAATTTTTCCAAAATTTTTACATAAATCTACTGTACCCCTAAAGATTAGTATATATGGAAAATTTGGTTCCAAATCTCCTCCTCCCCTCATTGCTAGAGGCAAAAATAACCTCAAAAGTCCCGTCTCCTAAGGAAAAAAGCGTGCCCCAATCGAACTGCGTATCGCTGAGTCCTCCTTTCGCGTCGGCTCTACATTTCGTCATTTCGTCGTTATATTTCGTTATTATTTCGTCTCATTTCGGCTCATTTTCACGACCTAGCCCTGCCATCACCTACTTCTTCTCTTCTTGAAGTTATTGATATTGCAGTCACCTACTTTGCACGGTCTTAACCTCAAGCTAGAGATGAATCTCTGTACCATTTTCAGTTATTTTTCATTTTCAGGACTTAGGCATATCACCTACTCCTTCTCTTCTTGATATTATTGATATTTCAGTCATTTGCTTTGCTTAGTCCTAACCTCAAGCTAGAGATGAATCTCTCTACGGTGGGTAAAGGGCTGTTTGGCACTCATGTTACCTGGGAAGATATTGAGGAAGACATGCGCAGGGAAATGCACACCGATTCTCACTTTGGTCCCAATAAAAAGGCAGAAAACATCGGAGATGGCAAAGTAAGCTAACTTTATACTATTCATCACCTTTGTAAACATATGTGGCTTTACATAGGGCTTCATGTCCAGAGTTGTGCTTGTGAACCCAGATTGGCAATGTAAGGACAAGGATCTGCCAGAAAGATTCATTGTAAAAGTGCGTGAACCCAAATTTTCTGCAGTTTACATAAAGACAACTTGTAAAAGATTTTTTTTAGATAGTAACACAATTGGCTGTGTGCAAAACCTTCGAAGAAGTGGCGGATAAAAACAACACAGAAAACGTCTTCAACGATGAAAAAGTTAGGAGTCTTTCTTTCTTGCTATTTGCATCGTTTCAACAATCGCAGAAGCCACTGACCCATTCCTTTTTGAAAAATTTTTATGGCGTTAATTGGCGTAGCCACTATGGCCGCTTCTACATTCTAAAGCTTTTTCGCTTCTCAGTTCATCATAAGCAGTGGGGCTCGCTATCATACAGCACCAAAATTTCATTATTACTGGATGGATGGTGCCTTCAAGGGTGGTGGAATAGAGTTTTTTCGCACTATGAACTCACTTTTTTTTGGTTGAGCTTGTCATTTACTTTCTACACATATACCACCTACTTTCTAGACCGATCCCGCAAACAGATGTGGTGCTGCTGTAATTCATAACAGGATTCTGGGTATTCTTCCATTTGATGGCGACTTCATCAATAGTTTCTCAATTCCTTTATCCGAAATTGATCATAGGTGAGGTAGCTAGATTTTTTTTTCGCATCTATGTAGTTCTTTACATCGTCTGTTGCAGACTTGAGAACATTGTTGACATGGTTTTTCTGGATGGATATTATGAACCTACCTTACTATTCCTGTACGAACCGCATCAGACAACGGCGGGAAGGTGGACTTTTGATTTTTTACTTTGCTTAATTTTTTTGGCAGAGTATGGAAATCCATTAGTTTTTGATTCTTTTTCATGGATGTTTTTAGGGCCTCGGTGCGGTACGATACCATGCACTTACTGGGAGTTTCCGTAAATGTATTCGATGAGCAGGTTGCCATTGTGTGGCAAGTGGGAAGTTTACCCATGGACTGTAACAGGTGAGGCAATTTTAAGGTTTATATTTTCAGTTGCTATCTTGGTAGCCTTAGAATTTTACATATATTCAAGTCTAACGTAAGTTTTGAGCGACAAACCGCGCATGTTTCGCTAGGAACTCTCCATAGTTTACAAAAATAATCCATTTGAAATAAAAATGAAAGGAAGAAAGAAAGCTGCAATGTTTTTGGCATAAGACACATGCTTGACGTTCAGACCATTTTATCATTGCCACTAAAATCTCTTTCAGGCTTGTGGCTATACCAAAACCACTGGGTGGAGTTCTGGTGATTGGATCAAATGAAGTCATATACTTGAACCCAGTGCCTCCCTGTGGGATTAGCCTGAACAGCTGTTACGACAACTTTACGAAGTTCCCCTTGAAAGTAAGCCCTGCTTTGGCTTCTCATTCTGGTGCTTTCTGTTTGAAGGATTTGAAACATATGTCTATGACTCTGGATGCTGGTGCAGCAGAATGGATTGGTAATAATCATGTTGCATTGGGTACAATGGATGGCAGATTGTTCATTCTTACTCTTCTCACAGATTCTTCAGAAACTGTTAGATCTCTTGATATAGAGCACGTTTTCGGTAAGTTGCATGGACGTACTAGTGGTAGTGATTTCATCTCAGATCTGCAGATACGTCCATTGCTTATTGCATGAATTTATGTTCTCCTGGCCGCCTCTTCATCGGTTCTCGACTTGGTGATTCTCAGTTTTTAGAATTTATCGTGGAAAAGGAAGAAATAAGTAATTTTTGTTTTTCTCCTACAAAAGAAGAAGAAAGTAGCCTTGCTCAGTATTAGAAGAGGGATCCTCTCCGGAACCGAAGAAAGCCAAAGTCGAGGAAGAGATAAACGCGGATGAGGACGATCTTGAACTTTATGGCGAACAAATTATTGAACAAGTGGTGAGTGCTGTCTTTTATCTATCACTTTTACCTATGACAACAGTCGTGAATAATAAATTATCAGCGTTTTAATCTAGCGAAGTGGTCTGTTATTATACTTGAGAATATCTGAGAAAGTCAGCTTTTACCCCTAAACCTTGAGCAATTTATTTGCATAGATTCTCTTCCAGACGTGAAGAAGTGGGCGCGTTCATGCTCCTGCAAGCTAATGGCTAAGGTAATGACTGTCCTCGTTGTTCTCTACCTCAAACAGTCAGGAGAGAGTGCAATGAGCCTAAATAGTAATCAAGTGGGGTTCTTAATCGAATATCGCGGCCCTAAAATACAGTCTGATTCTTCAGTTTTCTGCCATTTCTCAGTATATTCTGGTTGGCTGACCACATTTTTTCTCAGCTGCACGATCCGCATACCAGCGTTGACTAGAAAATAAGATATTTGAAAAATATTTTTTATACTCTTTGATTCCTAAATCTATTTGACAACAGCATAAAGCTGTTAAGTGTGAGTATTTGCAGGCAACAGTCAAGGAGAAGTACAAAGAGAAACTTATATTTTCTGAACTCGATCAGTTAACTAACATCGGCCCTATAAAAGCGATCACCGCTGGTGGTACCCATGGAGTCAGTCCAATTTTACTGGAGCAGAAAGAACGGACCCTATATTTGATATTGTGGGTTTTGCGAAATTTGGGTTGAACAAGGTCAATCCAGAATTTCTAGATTGTTGCTTCTGGGCATACAGTCAATGGTTCAATTTGTGTACTGCAAAGGACGGTGCGGCCAGACATAATCACCAGCAGTTTGTTCGTTTTTCTTCTCTTTTCATGCTGTTTTCTACATTTGATTTTAGCCCAGATTTTTCTATGTGATTGTTTAGCTTACAAGACGCTCAACAGCTTTGGGCAGTTGGAAGAAGAGAGGATGATTCTCACAAGTAGGACTGCAAGCTTACACCGATTTTTATCTGGATGTGTTAACATTGTAATCGCTACTTTTTGCTTTTAGATATCTCAACGTACCTCGTACACGATCTTCTCTGATTCACGAGTTAGGGGAAGATATGGTTGAATTGGAAGAACCCCTTTTTCTGTCGGACGAACCTACCGTTGCAGCAGGAGAGCTAGCTGATGGTCGTCTTGCTGTTCAAGTATGTTTATTTTTATCTTTTTTATCTTATTTTTCATCGTACTGGCACTAGAATGTTTCACGCTGTTTATCTCATTCGCTGACTAGACTTTTCAGTAATGTTTAGGTGACGTCACTGCGTGTAGCTCTTGTGGCAGAAGAAAAACAACTCCAACAGATTGATTTGGATTCCAATTTCCCTGTTGTTGCCGCATCAATAGTTGATCCTTACGTGGCTTTACTGACTCAGAACGGGCGCTTGATGTTGTTCCATCTTGTTTTGAACCCTGTTGTGCACCTACAGGTGACGGATCTAATGTTTGGCGTTGATATAGAAAATTTCGACCATTTAGGAAATTGACATATCCAACACTGCATTTGCCGAAAGAACCGTTCATCACCGAGCTCCCTTGACGGCACTGTCTATTTATCGCGATATGAGTGGACTCATGGTTTGCTCTCAAGATGCTCTCATGCCCGAGGAGGAAGAAGACAAGAAAGAACAAGGTTTGTGATCTTCCAATGTACCATTCAAGTTGCATGTCTTTTTTAGAAGCCCGCGGAGAACAGTTCGAGAACTCTTCTATACAATTTCGGTCAAATGAAAGAGTCGTCCAATTGCAGATCGTTCCTAGATGGCTGTTGTTAGGTAAATTTCCTACCAACTCTCTTATTCTTCGATCTGCTGCTTTTACAGCGGTGTGTTTCTTCCTACTTACTGCCCCTTCTTTTGCGCAGTTCGTCGATAGGGATTACAAGGAAAGATCCTCCAAGACTAACTCCGCCAATCCGACTTTCCACCAGTCTGCCCCACCCTGGTGGATGGACTTTTCTACCATCGGATTTATGGATTTTCTGATGAATGCCGTCGTTCACATTTCTTTCGAAATCATTCAGATTTTCTTTTGGAGAGTGTACGCGTTCTGCAAGGACGTCGGCACCTACGTAAGGACTGCGCGCAGTTGGGGAAGGGGGGAACCCCTGGGGGGAGAGGAGGGGCGCGGGGGGAGGGGGCGCCTCATTGAGGACCCCGAGTTGGAGGGGAGTGACGGCGAGGAAGCTCGCCGCCGCAACCGTTGCCAGTGCACTGGTTGCTGTTGCGGCGGTGGGCTTCGTCGCCGTCAGTCAGTGCGCGTGCGCCTCACTCCAGTGTCCTCAATGAGGTGCAAAAAATGCAAGCACAAGCCCTAGCTTGATTTTTTTTCTTTGATTTTTGAAGGGGGAAAGTGAGTAAGAAGAGTGGAATCCAAAAGTGGGGGTGAGAGTGGAGTATTAGAAGATGAGGGTGAGTGTGAGTGAGTAAGTGATATATAGAGTGAGTGATATATTGTGAGTGAGCATATGAATGATACGAAATTCCCCCCCCCCTCCCCCTCTCCCCGCGCTTCCCCCCCCCCCCCCCAGGTGCCGGTGTCATTCGAGATCTCTATCCTGATCTCTTTTTTCTTTATTTTTGCATTCATTGGTTTTTTTTCTCCAATAAATGTTTTTTTGGGTAAAGTGTTCACTGCAGAACAACTGGGACCAATTTTGGGGTCAAAGGGGAAATCGTAAACAAATTATGGGTCAAAGGGGAATTCGTTTTCGAAAACCCCTTTTGCCGACCTCGTGCCGGGCCCTGGTTACACATCATCGAAGATTTTTTTACTGACAAGGTCAAAACTCAACAGTTTAGATTCAAAATCAACGCAAGTTCGAAATTCTAATCAAGGCTGAAGATTTCATCCAATGGATCCGTGTTCTCTTTCGAATTCTTTTTTTCTAAAAACGCGGTTATTCATCTGCCTCAACTTGTAAGGCGCACTAACCACTATACCCCAGCCGGGGCACTGGTGTGTCTATCGTATTTTTCTCTGGCGGAAAGAACCTACAATCATTTCCATCAACTTACCTCCTTTTTGCCGAAGGCATATCAATCTCTTTTAGGTGCGACTGACGACCCGCCCCTCGGTCTTTTCGTGCGTGCCTCGCGCAGTATCTTGCAAATTTTGTCATCGATCGCGAGTTATTCCGTCGATAACGCTGATGCATTTGAATAAATCCTATATCTTAGTCCTTACAGCTTCCATAGCTGATGCTGAAACGAAATGAGGCGACCTCAGAGCCCGCCGACTTATATACCCCGGCGGTGGGGCCAAGAGGCGGTGGTGGGGCTCTGATTGGCCGGCCTGCCATTAGCGCTTCCGCTACAAGACCTTTCCGGTCGTTGGGTTTAAAGATAGGGGGTTTTGATTAAAGTGTCTATAAACTTGACAAGCAGGGGACGTTGTTGTTTTCGTCTGGGGTGACGGTGCAGCAGCAAGCAAATACTTGGCTTCTGGAAAGAATCCCATCCTGATTACAAATCGGAAAGCTGCGTCATAGTAACTACGCTCCGTTTGTAGCGCTAATAAGTCGCAATCCCTCTTTCTTTCAGGCGACACTATCGAGAACTGAACTGAAGTGGAGCTTCGAACGATGCAATACATTACAGCCGTTGGTGACGGTGCAGCAGCATCTGCGAGATGCAAGCTTGCACGAAAGGTGGCGTTTGGGCTGATAAGCCTGGGTCGCATGTATGTAATGTATGTAATGTCGGTATGCATGGTTGCATGTGTTAAGGGTCGTTTTTTGCGCCAGTGGAGGTTGCGTGTCACGAAGTTGATTCACGACGTTGTAAGGGTGTAGACGATTGCGGGGATTATAGCGATGAAATAGATTGTTCAAGTTGAATCGGTAAAATCGATCAAATCAATGGATAATTCTGAAAAATGACATTGTTTCGTAATCAGCTCAATTACCCCCCCCCCTGTGCCGAACCCCCAGCACAATAGCTCAAATTCTACAAAAAATCGATATCGATCAATAACGAAAACTAGCCTACGACACCCGCCGGGGCCCGACGTGTATGTGTGCGGTTGGTCCGGACCGGTTCAGAAATGGAATTTTCTATTCGGAACATAGGTAGAGACAGACAGACATACAAACAGACATTCAGCTTAATATATAAGAATAGCGACCCTAAGGGTCGCTAGCAAGCGGATTGGGGCAAACACGTGGATAAATGCTATTTCAAAAGGACAATTTTCTCAAATAAATCTCCAATTCACCAGTTCATGTATTGCCGCAGCGCTTAAAAATGAGATTTTCGGGGATGTTCTCAAAACTTGGGCGGAAAGTGGATCATATCGTTCTCAAATAGTGTTTTGCCCTAAGGAATCGCTGTACAGTTTCCTCTCACAATGTCACTCTCGCACTAACGCTCGCATTTTGGAGATAAAAATCGAATTCAAGCAGCGCAATAGCACCCATAAGCAAGATTTTCCGAGATTTTCTCAAAGTTTCAGCTGAAAGTGGATCATATTGTTCTAGCACTCACGCTTACATATTGAAGAGAAATTAAATCAAGCGGCGCAAATGCTCTCAAAAGCGACATTCTCGCAGATTTCCTCAAAAATTGTGCCGAAAGTGGATCATATCGTTCCGAAATAGTGTTTTGCTTTGAGGTTCACTGTACAACTTCCTTTAACAATGTTATTCTCGCATTCACGCTTACATATTGCAGATAGAAATTTAATTCATACAGCGCAAATGCTCTCGAAAGCGGCATTCCCCGACACGACATTTTCGGGAATTTCCTCAAATTGACGGAAAAGTGAGAAATAAAATAGTTCCAAAAATAGCTTAGCTGACATGAATGGGAAGAGCTTGGAGAACGAGCGAGGAGCATAATGAATACTAGGGTGGGATGTGAGTGGATCAATAAGTGGTATGCTTTTATACCTGACTTTCCCAACGATCATCTCGCATATTTCAACACACTTGGCACGCGCTTGCGTGTTTCAACACAACTATTTCGGCAACAGAGCATATCTTGCGTGTCGTGTCTCTCGTTCGCGCTAGAACCTCTGCGTCCTCTTGGCCTCATGACTGCACCGTCGCGTCTCTAAACTTTGAGGCTCCGTTCCCTGGAGCACGAAGTGGTAGATCCCCGCCATTTGCCCTCGGTATCCTTTCGACTGTCTGATTTCATATCCTCTTGTTTCGTCAATAAGAATACAATTCCCATCACTACTAAGTTAAAATATGAATTGTTCAGTTCAATTACTCAAATTATGAATTTTGCCAGATTATACAGGGTGTCCCAAAAGTAAGTGCACACTTTTCAATCGTCAATATCTTTTTTTTTTCAATGGGTCTTTTTTTTATCAGTCAAGTACCGTTCTGTAGAGGAGGCTTCAACTTAGCTTTACAGTATGAAGCGAATCGCCGACCGCTCTTCATTACTGTAGGATTAGGTAAGAACTTCCAGCATGTGGAACCACTGTGAAATATGCCATATGACAATTTTTTTCCAAAAAATCTGAAAAATCGTGTACTAGGGTTTTCGCGCACGCTGATTCCATCAAACTACTTTTTACGAGTTTTTCAACTTTTTTGACGGTGTAGTTACATTCCTGACAAGTGCTGGGAATTCGGTTATTATGTTCACCTGGAATAACCTTGGAAAGAAGCATCACAGTATAGCGGAAAACTCATATCCGAAATCGGCGGTTCCATTAGCATAGTTTGAGAGTTTTTGGCTTGTTTGTTTTTGTTCCAAGGCAGGATATGGCTTCCAATGGCCTATAATCTTTGTCAAAATTCCTACAGCAATCCTACAGTAATGAAGAGCGATCGGTAACTTGCTCGATGCTCTAATTCTAAGTTGAAGCCTCCTCTACAAAATGCATGCTGATGACCCCCACGGGGGTGATGCTCGATTACCCCCCTGTGCCAACTCCCAGCCCCGTAGCTCAAATTTTGCAAAAAATCGATAAAATCGATATCGATCGATGACGAAAAGTAGCCTATGACACCCGCCGGGGCCCGAAGTGTATGTGTGCCAAGTTTGGTCCCGATCGGTTCAGAAATGGAATTTTCTATTCGGAACATACGTACAGACAGACAGACATACATACAGACAAACAGACATTCAGCTTTATTCAGCTTTATATATAAGATTGAAAAGTGTGTACTTACTTTTTGGACACCCTGTATATCGTAAAAGTCTGCCTTGTTTCCCAGCCTGAAGAGACGTGATATTTTACCCATTTCGTTATAAATGCGGTGCTGTCCATAGCTTAAGAGCCACCCTAGGAATTACAATAGTGTCTTGAATGAAGTTGGTAGACTTTGACCATACATTGCCAGTGTTGCCCATGTTACTGGTGTTGCACGTGTTACTAGTGTTAATAGTGTTGCTCGTGATACTCGTGATCAGTGTTATTATGTTGCCAGTGTTGTCGTCAAAGGCGACCTCCATACATGCTGTGAAGTGATAACATGTTGATTGTTATGTTTATGTTTATTTACGTTTATCCTTGTTTGTGTTGATTTTATTTACAAACTTTAACGTTGGAACAATACCCCGCAACGGAAGCAGCTGACCAGACAAGTACGTACAAGTCAAGCGAACACCCTATCAGTTTATCATTGCTCCAGCTTTAACTTGATTACACAAGTTAACTTATCCAGGCTTATCACTAAATCAGTTAACAATGATGACGTGCCATAAGATCTAAAGGGTATAAATATTGATGAATGAGTAGGGTTGAGCAGTCTTCCACAAGTCTCTCCACAAGTTGGGGAAGGGTCAGCTCCTGGGGTAAGAACAAGTAGTTTCCTGTACGAGAAGTCTCTCTTCAGAAGTCTTCTAGGAGTAGGACTAGACTCATACGACAAGTATCCAGCTACTTAAGAAGTCCTAGGGGATTAGTTTACAAGTAGT